GGATCGTTGCAAGTTAGAGACCAGCCTAGGCTACAAAGTGAGCTCAAGCCCAGCCTGAACTGCATAGCGAGACCCTGTCTCAAAAAAACATACATACATACATACATAAATAAATGCTATGTGGAACCAGGACTCAATAAAATATTGCACAGGATTCAAAAATTAAAAGTAGGGGCTAAGGCTATAGCCAGAATGGGTACCATCAAGAATACTGAAGATAAGTAAATACTGGCAAGGATAAGCAGAGGGACCCTTTAACACTGCTGGTGAGAATGTAAACTAGTACAGCCACTATGGAAGTCAGTGTGGAACTCCCTTAAAAAAATTAAGGAACAAGCTTCCATGCCTATCAGTGGATGAATGAATAAAGAAAATGTATAAACACAACGGAGTATTATTTAACCATAAAGAAGAATAAAATTTTGCAGGAAAATGGATCAACCTGGAGATCAAAATGTTATGCAAACTATACCAGACTCAGAAAGACAAATGTCACATTTCTCAATTTATGGACTTGAAAAAACTGTCAAAACTGAAAGGAAACCATCAGAGAGGAGGGGAGTGCAACAACAGGTGACAGGAACTGGATGTATTTTACACAGAGAGGCCCTGAAAGGTGAAACTGAGGACGAGGACAGGGGGTGCATGTGTGGAAATGATCCAAGTATTGCTGCACGGTTTGCAAAAATGAAATCCATTAATCTGCACAACACATACGCACTAATAAAAAAGATGTGGAAAGAAATATGTATCACATAACCTAATATTTATACTGAGGGTGTCATTACCAATTCATAAACACATTCTGCAATGCCATAAATTCCATATGAAAAATGCGTTAATCTTTTCTTCATAAAGCAGATTCAAAGTTAAATAAAACTGCAAATAGAAGTGGTGAGCTTCACTAAATTTTAGATTATCTTTGAGCTGCTAAATATATCATAACTGGGCTGGGGATATAGCTCAGAGGCACAGGCAAGCGCAAGGTCCCAAGTTCAATTCCTGGTACCAAAAAAATAAATAAAATAAAATAAAATAAATGTACCATGACTGAGAAAAATAAAAACTAAAAAAATAAATAAATATACCAAGAGTATGTCAGATGTGGTGGCACAAACCTGTAATCCCAGCATTTGCAAGGCTGAGGCAGGAGGATCACTGCAAGTTCAAGGCCAGCCTGGACTACATAGTAAAATTCAAGGCCTGCCTCAACCTGTCTCAAAAAAAATTTAAAAAACTAAAACAAAAGGCTGCAGGTGTAGCTCAGTAGTAGAGCATTTACCTAGCATCTAGCATGCATAAGACCCTGGGTTTAATCTCCAGTATCGCAAGGGGGGGCAGTGGTGCAGATTTATTCTTTATGAAACAATACACTATCTCTTTCCTGCTCCTTAGAATACTGTTGAAATGGCTTCTAGGCCTTTAGGCTAAGATCAAGTATAGAATACTGTTGAAAGAACCGTAATGTAGACTCTTTCTCCATGACCATAATATGCAGAGGGAGCCCTAAGATAGCCATACTCCTTGCAGATTTTACAACCCAAGACTCATACACTTCAGGAAGATCCTAGAAGCAGGACTGCACAGCACCCCTCTATCACCACAGAGGTGCTATGAAATAACTTGCTGGCAGCATACTAACCTAATGTTCTAATAACTCAGTCTTTTCTTTCAGACAGGGTCTTGCTACATAGTCCAAGCTGGCCTAGAACTCACTATGTAGCCCAGGGTGGCCTCAAGCTTGTGGCGATCCTCCTGACTCAGCCTCCTGAGTGCTGGGATTACAGGTGTACATCACTACACCTGGCTAAAGCCTACCAATCTGTCAACAGGAGTCCTGGCCCTTACAGATTCACACTCAGAAAGGAGCCAGGATCCTGTGCTCTGCATTTCTGGTCCAGATTTGGGTAACTCCTGGGGTTACCGTGAGTTAGACACAAGTCACCCCCAGTATACAGAAAGAGGACACTGGGTGTCTGACAACTGCCTCGGACAAAGATGACGATGGCTGTCACTGGGGAGACTTCATTTGTTTCACAAGGCAACACGAACTTGGGGTGTTCATCTTCCACCACAGCATCCACAGACGAGGCCACCTCCCTTGGCCTCCGAAGCCCAAGTTCCTATCAAAAGCAGGCCTATGTAAGGGTTATCTTTCTTGGCCCTCTTTGAGACTACACCTCCCATGTCTTACATATGGCATAAACTGGGTAATTTTTCCCTTGCTAAAAAAAAAAAAAAAAGAGGCCAGACACCAGGCACAGTTGTCCAAACCTGTAATCCCAGCTACTCAGTAGGCTGAGCTGAGGCAGAAAGATCTCAAGGTCAGTGCCAAAATGGCCAACTCAGCAATACTGACTCGAAGTAAGTAAAGCACTGGACATGTACCTCAGCACTGTGTGAGTTCAATCTCCAGAACTGAGGAGAAAAAAAGGGCTGGTGAAACGTGAGAGGGGAAAAGAGTAGTAATGCCAGATGCCATGGCACATGCTTGCAATCCCTGTCACTCTGCAGGCTGAGGAGCAGGAGGAAGAGGAGGATCAAAAGATCAAGGCCATTCTGGGCAATTTAGCAAAACCGTAAACTCAGAACAAAAAGTTAAAGGGGCTGAAATACAGAGGTCAGTGGCAGGGTGCCCCTGGGTTCAATCCTCAGCACTGGGGAGGCAGAGACGGGGAACGTTATCACAGAAGTATGACATGGCTGTGGAGAAGGACATTCTTTAGTTACTCTCTCAATGTGTTACCTCAGGCCTGACCAAGCCGTATGACTGTGTGGTTTCCGAGGAAGTCCAGCAAAGGCACTGGTGGAAAGGGAATGACTGAAGCACTGTGGCCCCGTGGAAAGCTGCAGGGACAACACTAGACGCTTGCTGAGATTTGCCCAAAGGAATGGTAACATGATGGCTAACTAAGTCACGTCTTCTTTCTGCGGTAATTGAGTTGTATTGTCCTTGCTAAACCTGTTGCTATCCTCCCATTTGCCCTGCTGCTTCCTTTGTTCTTTCTCAATAAAAGGTGACTGAGAATGGTAATGGGGCTTCAGTCCCAGAGGCTGTAAGCCCCCTGAGCGCAGAATTATGCCCCTCTTGTTTTTCTTGTTTCTCTTGCTTTTCTTTTCATCTGCGGCACCTTGTTCTCGGGAGCTGTCACCGTGGACAGAAACAGATTATAGACTAACACACAACTTTAGTTTTTGTTGTGTTTTGCTTTTTGTTTTTGAGATACGGTCTCACTATGCACAATGGCCTTCAACTCATTGTGTAGCCAAGGCTAGCCTTGAACTTGCAATGATCCTCTTGCCTTAGTCTGTAAGTGCTGGGGTTACAGGTGTGTACCACCACACCCAGCAAGACATGACTTGAGGTCAAACTTTCAAGATTTTTTTTTTTTTTTTTTTTTTTTTTTTTTTTTTCTTTTTTTTTTTTTTTTTTTTTTTTTTTTTTTTTGGTGTGGTGGGGGAGACAGCAGCACTGGGAATCAAACGGAGGACCTCATGCTTAGCAGGCAGGCTCTGCACCACTGAGCTAAATCCCCGGGCCCTCAAATTTTAAATTATTCATAAAAATTGCTTTCTCAGCAAGGCATGGTGGCATGCAACTGTGACCTCAGCACTCAGGAAGCTGAAACAGGAGAATCGCCGGCATGGGCTATATAGTAAACTCAAGGTTCGAATGGACTACACTGCAAGACCCTATCTCAAAAGCAGACAAAAAACTTCCCCAGTTCATCTAAAAATAGGCCGTTTCTTCAGAACTGCACAACCCAAACAGTTCATTCACAGGTATCAGCAAAAGACTTACAAGATTGCAGAAGACCAACTATTCTTTCAAAGTACTCCCCTCTCCCTATTTAGAGCGGCCAGCAGCCTTGCCTTCTTCCCTCTGAGGCTGAACATTTCCCGCCCCATCGTTCCAGCTTACCTCGAACACGGGCTCGCTTGCCCCGGTCAGAAGTTCTGTCCTCTTGATTACACTCAATTCCATTCTCTTCCCCTCTAACTAAAGAGGAAAACACATAAAGCTACTTTAAAACTTCTGTACATAACCTTACCAGATATCACTTACAGCAAGGACAGAAAAAAAAAAATGAGACTAAAAGCCGGTTTCAACAAGTTCAGAAAACAGAAAAAAATAAAGTGACACAAAAGTTGAATGGTAAAAAAAAAAAAAAAAAAAAAGTTGAATGGCAACGTATCTTGCACAATTCACAGGTGTAAATCCTGAAAAGAAAATGCAGCAATTTTTCTTGCTTCTCTAGGGATTTTCTCTAAATTAAGTTTGCTTTAAAAAAAAAAGTTGCATTATGCAATTACACAATATACAACAGAATTTGACCCGTAAAGGCAATGCACTACAAAATAACACACCAAGGCTGAAGGAAGGGACAGGGAATAAGAAAAAAGCAAGATATACCATGTACAGGTACAAATTCCCTATCATGAATATTACCATTATGTATATCTAAAATGTGTCTTAAAATAAAATACGCTCATGTATTTTTAAATAATTTAAAAAAAAAAAAAAAAACATACCAAGGAAAAACTATACTTGGAAAAAAACAAACTGTTACAGACAGGCCTACCCAGGATGCTGTCTAGCGATACCAACACATCATGTCTTCCTTGCCTCATCTATACTGACTGTAATCACTTTATAGACAGACATCTGCTGAACAACATTGCCATCACTTGCTCCTCTCACCTCTTTCAGGGCTTAACTCACATGAGCTCTCAAGAGGCCTTCCTTGCAATACATTTACATGTGCTGCACCCCTTCCTATTACTCTCATGCTTTCTGCCTTGCGTCCAGATAACACTGTTAACATGTAACAGTGCAGGGTATAACTCAAGCAGCAGAGCATAAGCTTCGCATGAGTGAGGTGCTGAGTTCAACCCCCAGTGCCACCAATAACATGTTATATAAAATATTTTATTTCACATTTTTAATTCTTATACCCCATTATACCTTTATTAAAGATAAAGCCTAGAAGGGGCAAAAAGTTTCTGCTTTACTCATTTTGTCTTTTTTTTTTTCTTTTGACGCAGAGTCTCAGTATGCAGCCTGGGCTGCCCCTGGGCTCCTGATCCTCCTGCCTCAGCCTCCCAAGTGCTAGGACTACCGGCATATACCACCATGCTCCACTTCTTTTATTCACTTCTATATGCCTACTACAGCATTCACTACATAGTAGATACTCGATAAACATCTGTGGTATAAATGACAGAGCAAAAGTCTCTAGGACTGTTTTCACAAAAATGTGTCCAAACCTGGCTCTACTGTAAATATCCATAAGTGGAGAAAACAACTTTATCTGCCAGCAAATCACCTTCCCTACATGTCTCTAAAATTAAAACATGCACGTGATTCCTAACAGAAGGCAGTCTTAGGGCATCCAGCACAGTGACCCACAGTCCAAGTCAGTGCTGATGAGAAACTGTCTCACAGGGCCTCAGGAACTACTCAGGTGCAGCTCATCACGAGGGTGCACTATCAGATAAACTGTGCATGGAAAACGTGATTATAAAAGCGTTCTTTAAACTGCTCTCCCAGTTTTTCACAATGTGTGGAAAGTCTATACTTGCATTCTCTGCCACGGTTGCTTCCTCTTCCTTTCCGGCTGTTGTTACCACGTCCACGATTTGCTTCTCTCTCGCTTTTCTTCTCTCTATTCTCTTTGTTTTCTGAACTTTCTTTTCCAAAATTCTTCTTCTTCCCCCCTACAGTCTCCCAAGAAGTCTATCAAAAAGAAGAGTTTTTAGTCAGAGTTGTTACTCAAAGTGTGTACAATTATTGAGGCTATCACAGAAATCTTTAAAACTATCCACAACTTGCAAGTTATTTGCCTATCATTTTAATTCTTTTCCATATTGTTCTACCGCCTTCATAAGTACAGACAACAAACATCTTCCTAAACTCACGCTGCCACACCGTTTACAAATAATGACAGGTTTCTATGCAAAACATTTGAGAGAGAAACATCTTATCCCATGTCATTTAACAACATCCTGACAATATGCTGCATGCTTTTCCACCACAGAAGCTTTTCCTATGCTGACGTAAGTAAATGTTGCCCAACCTGGCACACATGCCTATAATCCTAGCACTCTAACAGGCTGAGGCAGAAGCATCATAGCTTGGGCAATTTAGCAAGGCCCTGTCTCAGAATGAAAAATAGGGGCTGGGGATTTAGTTCAGCGGCACAGTGCCTGCCTGGCAAGC